TTTTAATTAGTGAAAAACAAGAAAAATAATTTTTCACTAATTAAAGACTAATCTTCCGATCCATTGATTTAGCTATGATTGAGGTGTTTGAGAACACCCTTTGTTCTATCGTTATATATACGTAGAAAATTTTAATACAGTGGGCAAAGATTGATATCTACAAAACGTCAGCTACATTTTTTTTTATGGAACCCTAGTAAATATATACTAACGTAATGCTAGCTAATGTTTAATTTAAAGAAAATTTTCTTGTGTATCAGTACATGCATGGTAATCTATCTATATATATTTATAAACCTTGGAGGTACATCTTTTTTTATTAGAGCCCCAAAAGCAGTTTCATAGTGATTATACGTGTATGTGTACACTAGTGTACAAATAGAATTATTAATGACTATTAAGGGGGGGTTATGTTAAACAAAGAATTAAGTTTGTTGGCATGTTTGGCATGAGCACGGTCATTTTTTAAGTTATACAGAGTTCTTTTTTGGTAAAAAAAAAAAAAAAAAAAGCGGTGTAGTATAAATCATGTGATAAATTAAATAAAATTTGTATAAAAGACCCAAATTCCCCATATCGCTCACACCCTAGATCACGTGCTTGGGGTTTAAACATCCATAGAAGTCCTGTGTTAAGGAAGTATATCGTAAAGAAATTCCATAATTTATTAATTGTTTCAGCTGGAATCTGTATTACTTTTAGCGTATCGTCGGAATTATCGCACCAACTATTAGATAGGTATATTGCGTCGTTATTTGAATCATTTTTTGAACAGGTATTAAATTCATCTTTATAATCTAAATTAAATATTTTGTACGTGCAAAGAAAAGCTTAATAATTTTCAACCTCAGTTTACGAAATGAGCCAAAATACTTGCCTGATTTTACAGATGAATTACCGAAATTTATATCACTAATATTATTAGGAGAATCCAACTCTGAATAATTTAGTATTGATAAAATCTCAAGTGCTTTTGAAATTTTAACTTGTGTTGGTCGCTGCTTCGGATCATATTTCCAACATCTTTCATAAAGTTTAATGTACGGGTTTGGTGTGCTTTTAACAGGTATTTCCCTGTTTCCTTCTAATATGTGGAGAAGAATACAATATCTGTTTTCAAATGATTGGAAAGGTGGTCGGCCACTTGATATTTCCCAAAGAATTACTCCAAAACTATAAATGTCAGATTCCTTGTTACGTTTATATGATTCGTTCTTAAAACATTGTGGATCAATGTATGCTAACATTCCATGAATGTTAACGTTTGAGGTTCTTGATGTCTCGTCCTTTGATAAACCAAAATCAGCAATCAACATTTTTTCATTGTGAACAAGAATGTTTTTAGAATGCTAAAAGAGTTATTTATTAATAAATAAAAGTATTATCGTTATTAAAAATCAGAATAGCATTTTTAAATAGTAAATTATATAAATAATTGTTTCGTCTCTATTTGGCAGCAAAATAAATTAATACTTACAAGATCTCGATGAATAATTTTATTTTCATGTAGGTGTTTAAGACCGTTCAAAATTTCACGGGCCATCCGTAATTTATCGGACCATTTAAATTTTGAAAAATTCTTTTTTAAATATCCTCGTAAATCTCCATTATTTGCAAATTGTAAAACCATGCAGAATCCATTTAAAAGACCTATTATAAATATATTTTTCTAAAATTATTAATTTCATATCAGAAATGAAAAATACAAATCATTCAATTATATTTACTAACCTTGAGTGACTCCGTAAAATTTAATAATATTTGGATGTTCGCAAACTTTTTTTAAGTTTTTAAGCTGTATATACAGTATTTAATTTATTAGATTATAAAATCTTTGAAATACCAAAGTAAATAATTTTTTACCTCTTTAGAATAATCATTTACCTCTTTAGCAAATATTTTAATAGTTCTTTTTTATTAGAAGAACTACTATTATCCGAAGAAATATTTTCGTCAGAAAAATTAAAGTCTAATTTTTTAAGAGCAATGGTTGATCCTCGGTCTTTCCATTCTGATTTATATACAGTTCCAAACCCCCCTTTACCAATTGGTTCCAACGCAGAGAATTTAGCGAAGTCGTATGACTTAATGTAGCATTCACGAATAGCGTCATTTAGCTCTTTTGAATACCGGTATTCCATATTCCAACTGGTTATTCTCTAGAGACCGATGAAATTTTAAATGTTTATTTAACCGTTGAAGTGTATACAATTTTGTCTAAATATTAACTTAATAATAGCGATAATTGTAGATTTGTCGTCTTTGACTTGTACAATCTGACATCGTATCCAAATATCCTTTTGTGCAACTATTTTGGCTTGAATATTAAACATTGATCGATATTATAACTTACTATATACATAAATTTACTTCTACTTTTAAACATCATACTTGGTTCAAAGACAGAAATAGAATCATTAAATATCCAAGGATTACAACTTATTTGTCAGTGAAACAACTCGAATATTATAATTAACGATTATGAATTAGAATAATACGATTATAACAAAATTATCGATTTTAATTTTACAGAGCATAAATAATAGGATCAATATCTTAAAGAATATCGATATTATCCTTAAGACTTTTAAATTGGAAGCGTTAAAATACGTAATATAGGAGTCATGAAAAAACGCTGGCTCTGTTATAATACGTAGCAAATATGACAATATACTGTACCTTGTATTTAGAGACTGGTAAAATTGTTAAATTTTATGAATTTAAATATGAAGGGTCCGCAACTAATTTGAAATTTGGACATTAGGAACTGTGAAATCTTTAATAAAATATTTTGTTTCTATAAAATTATATAATATGCTCAAAAAACAATATAAAAATAAATTACTACAAGAGAGACCGTTCCAAATAAGAGTTGTCTAAAGCCGAACTACCTCAGAAGTGTGTTTATGTACCAAATGAAAGTATTTATGTTAGGGTAATAAGTACATTCGTGTAGTATATATCATTTTTTATTCATCACTTTTGAGAAAAATTAATAATAATTACTATCAGCTATGCATTTTCAAAGTTCAAGGTTTTAATTTTAAATTCTTTTATTAATAAAAATACACTTATTAGCTTCGATTATATTTCTAAATATTTAAAGTTTGAACCATTTAATATAATAAACTAGTAATTGCATATATAGCGGGCGACTTTATCGCCCGCCTGTAAAGATAGTATCATTAATAAAATAAACAGTATTATTAGAAAGGTGATATTAAATTATATGTCTTTGCCTTGAAAATCAAGTTCTAATTATATAACTTAATATGGTCATTTTCGAGGCAAAGACCTATATATTTAAAAATATCATTATAATTAATGTTTTAATAAATCTTTTTATTAATTTTGAAAATTTTTATAATATATTGAGTCAGTTGTTTTATATATGTAGCACTTCACACCACCCATCTACTTTTTAATTTTTTAGAAATTAAATTTAATTAATTCAATATAGTATATTTAAAAAGTAATCATTGGTATTATTTACGTATTCAAACCCGCTAGAATAAATTCATTATATAACGATAAGTTTAGGTAGTATTTATTTGACGATCGGTGATTATCGTTATCAAATCAAAATCAAGGATCATCCGCTACCATCGATTTCATCGATTTTAGGATAGTTATACAGCAGTTCTATTTTTGGTAAAAAAAAAAAACATGCATGATAAATCATATGATAAATTAAATAAAATTTGTATAAAAGGCCTGAATCCCCCACATCGTTCACACATTAAATCACGTGCTTGGGGTTGACATATCCATAAAAGTCCCGTGTTAAGAAAGTATATCATAAAGAAATTCCATAATTTATCAATAGTCGTAATGGTTTCGGCTGGAATTTGTATTACTTTTAATGTATCATCGGAATCATAGTTTGAACCAGTGGATGCGTGTATTGCAATTTTATCGTCTTTACTTGAATCAACTTTTGAACAAATATTCAATTCATCTTTATAATCTAAATTAAACATTTGTATAAAGAAAAGCTTAAATCAATTAATAATTTTCAATCTCTATTTACGAAATGAGCCAAAATACTTGCCTGATTTTACAGATGAATTACTGAAATTTATATCACTAATATTATTAGGTGAATAATTTAGTATTGATAAAATCTCAAGTGTTTTTGAAATTTTAACTTGTGTTGGTCGCTGCTTCGGATCATATTTCCAACATCGTTTATAAAGTTTAATGTACGGGTTTGGTGTGCCTTTAACAGGTATTTCCCTGTTTCCTTCTAATATATGGAAAGGAATACGACATCTATTTTCAAATGATTGGAATGGTGGTCGGCCACTTGATATTTCCCAAAGAATTACTCCAAAACTATAAATGTCAGATTCCTTGTTACGTTTATATGATTCGTTCTTAAAACATTGTGGATCAATGTATGCTAACATTCCATGAATGTTAACGTTTGAGGTTCTTGATGTCTCGTCCTTTGATAAACCAAAATCAGCAATCAACATTTTTTCATTGTGAACAAGAATGTTTTTAGAATGCTAAAAGAGTTATTTATTAATAAATAAAAGTATTATCGTTATTAAAAATCAGAATAGCATTTTTAAATAGTAAATTATATAAATAATTGTTTCGTCTCTATTTGGCAGCAAAATAAATTAATACTTACAAGATCTCGATGAATAATTTTATTTTCATGTAGGTGTTTAAGACCGTTCAAAATTTCACGGGCCATCCGTAATTTATCGGACCATTTAAATTTTGAAAAATTCTTTTTTAAATATCCTCGTAAATCTCCATTATTTGCAAATTGTAAAACCATACAGAATTCATTTAGACCTATTTATTAACAATAAATATATTTTTTTCTAAATTATTGATTTCACATCAGATATGAAAATTTTAATTATTTGTTATACATTACCTTGAGTGACACCGTAAAATTTAATAATATTTGGATGCTCGCCAACTTTTTGTAAGTTTTTAAGCTGAATATACAACGTTTATGAGATTATAACATCTTTGCACTGCTAAAGTAAATAATCATTTACCTCATTAGAATAATCATTTACCTCTTTAGCAAATATTTTAATAGGATTTTTATCCGAATAACTACTGTTATCCGATGAATTATTACTATCTGAAAAATTTGAATTGAAGTCTAATTTTTTAAGAGCAATAATTGATCCTCGGTCTTTCCATTCTGATTTATA